AGCTGGTAAATGGAAGATGAATGCCATAAACAATGAATCTATCTTATGGAAGCAGGGAGGGTGCAAGTAGGACAGTGCAGAAATAGAAACCTGTTCCACCTTAGAACTGCTGTGTATGTAGGAAAGAGAAAAAGTGATGCTTAACTTGGAGGAAGGGAAGCTAATTCAAGTAAAGAAAACCAGTCTTAAATACAAATATTAAAGAAGTCAATGGGCTAGAGGAAGTTTTTCTGCTGAACAAAACTTGGTTGGATCGAGGGGTGAACAGAGAGGGGGTTAACGGATGACTAGGTAGTCTGACATTTGAACAATATGATAACTTAAAAGGCCAGTGCTATTCTGAGCTGCCCCAAAAGAGAAAAATACTCAAAACTTAAGATAGAGAAGTACAGGAGCTTGGGGGAAAACCTAATTTTGATGTTGTATTCTGCCAAGACCTTATTTCATTATTTAATCTCTTAGGACTGTGGAGTTCTCATTTAGTAATACCACCTGGCCTATACATTTTAAGTTTGTTTTTAAACCAAAACCAAGGTAGTCTCTGTTCTCTTGCCAAGTCACAAATAAATTAATTGGTTATTTTTATCATAAAGGTTTCATAACTCCAAAAGATAGCCATGAGTAAGATGTTTCTTCAACTTTTACATCTTCTTCCTGGACATCAGTACATCATAAGTAGCTCTTACTGGCACTTGTTTCTTGACTCTCTGTTGATGAGATTTTTGTTCTTGAGCTACTTTACAGAGCACTTACAGGCCTTCTCTATACTAGGAGTAGTTAAGGAGGTTGGACCCCTGTAAACCACGATAGACTTGCTGCTTACTTCTTTTTTGGGATGTGGCCTAGTTTCCTTTTCTGTATTTGGGGTGAGAAAGGGTGACTAAATCAAATTATCACATTAAAATTATTTATTATTATTGTGTGTATGAGTGTGTGTGTGTATGTATGATGTATGTAAGGGAACGTGTCATTGTTGTTGTTGCCTGCCTTAGTGGGTTAGTTACTTGAGGACTCTCCGGTGGGGGCAGGGGGAGAGTAGGCGCGAAATCAACGGCACAGTTAGCAAGCAAGCTCATTTATTGTGCCATTAGGGCTTTCTTTTATACCCCTTACTCCTCCCCAATTGGTCCCGTAAGCCGAGTTGTCTAACGATCATTGGTGCAACAGCTGCGTCATCAGTCTTTGGTCTGGGTGGCAGGTAATCCGGTTAACTGTCTACAGAAATACTGCGGAAGAGTGGCGTGCCTGCGCAAAAGCCTCCAGGTCCGAGGCCTGGCGGATACTCTCGAGCCTCCTCCTACATTTCATGATATGTAGTAATATGAAGTCAGAGGACAACTTTATAGAGTTGGTTCTCTCCTTCCATCTTTATGTGCATTCCAGGGGTTGAAGTCAGGTTTCCAGCCTTGTACAGTGAGTGCCTTTATCCGCCGAGCCATCTCACCAGCCCCAGTTACCACTTTTATGTATAGCTTTTGGGTATCAAAAGTGGACTTTTCCCCTTTAAGGGAGCCATTATAAAGCAGTAAGAATTTGTAAGCTGTCTTGACAAGGCATGATGTAAAGGCTGTAGAACATTGCCTTCTTTTGTTCCTTCTCTAGTCACACCTACATAAATGTCCTTTGAAAGAACATTGCCCAAATTTTACCATACCATTCTTCTTCAAGATCGTATAGAAGATTGTTCTGTTTAAAGAGTAAAAAACATTATGGTATATAAATGACCCAGATACGCCTGACTTGCTTCACAGAATGGCCCAAGAGTCCTTTCCCTAATCCTTCAGCTACATGTGGTATTCTCCTTACATGAAAATGATGACATCACCCTAGTGCCATCAGGATTTGAACTTTTGAGTTACATTTTTAATATAAGTGGCACAAAGCAAATGCTATTTTCTTGTGGCTTGGAAACAGAATTTGAGAGAGAGCAATGCATTGGAAGAAGCTCATATACTTCTGGAAGGGGGGGCTAAAATGTTATTTGGAGCTATTTTTCTTCTGAATTGTTGACTCCTTTTAAGATCATTGGAGAGTGAGTGCCAATATGATTGTGTAAGGTTTATACAGTAAAACAAGCTGTCTCTGAAATTTCATGTAGAATCAAAAGGCATATGCAAAAAGCAGAACTGGGAGAAGTGCTAGACACATTTTCAGTTCGGATTTACCTCGAAGAAAAATACAATATACAGACTATGAGAAGAGATATCATTTCCTTTTTAAATTTTTTTATTTTTATTTTATGTGTATGAGTGTTTTGCCTGCATGTAAGTGTACCACATGCATGCAGTACCCACAGAGGCCAGCAGAGGGTATTGGATTCCCTGGAACTGGAGTTATGAATGGTTGTCATCTGCCATGTGGGTGTTGGGAACTGAGCTCAGTGCTCTTAACTGCTGAGCTGTCTCCAGCCCCAGGATATTATTTCTTGAATTGCCCCCAAATACACATTGAGTAACAGTTAAACACTTAATTGAAGAAACCAGAGACATTTTATACATTAACTATTTCAGTGATCTATATAATTTGTTGAGCAATAAAGTTGTGGGAGGGTAAAGGGAATGATGCTTTACTTTGAGTAGCCATGGAAATGTTTTTTTCCTTTTTAAAAATTTATTTTTATTGAATTTTGTGTATTTCACACAGAATATCTCAAACAATTTTAATCATCTTTATACCCCTGTCCCCACCAGCACCCTCTCATAGCCCCTACACTGGAACCCATATATTCTGTCATCCGTGTTAAGACCCACTATGTTAAATCAGTGTCCTCAGGCGTTCCCCAGTGCAAGTCCATCCACTGAGGTCTAGTCAGTCTATCTAGAGTCCCTCAATTTAGGAAGGTCATTTCTTCCTCATCTAGCAGTAATCAGTTGCCAATATTTCTTCAGTAAGCTTGGGGGTCTGCTGTTCATTTCCCTAGTTGTATGCTGGGTTTTTGTCAGTCTGAGTTTGCATGGGGCTTGTATATGCTGACACCATTGCCATAAAATCATATGAGTAGGGTCCCAGGAGCTTGTAGGACTCTGTTTTCATATCATCATGCACCTCTTACAATCTTTGTGCCCCCCCCTTTTGTGATGGTCCCTGAGCCCTGGGTGAGTGAAGTTTAATATAGCAATCCTGTCCAAGGACCAGCATTCTGCAGACTCTTACTTTCTACATTTTAGCCATTTATGACCTTTTGTGTTCCTGGCCCTTTGTTGCATGGGGGAGCTTCATTAATGAGAATTGAGAAATTCATTAGTGCCCTCTTCTTTACCCATGTTCTATGTTCCATGAGACTTAGGTGTAGAAGTCGCATTGTAGATGTGTCGCTTACACCCAGGCAATTCATAGACCATGTCTGTGTGTGACCAGTCGTGGTACCTGGCAATGGTCTCCGACTGATGCAAAATAAGTTTCTTTGATGAGCGGTAACTGGGCTGGAAATTTAAATTGAGATTTTATGTCACAAGGAACAGTGAACCACTTAAAGATGCAGGAAGACATTTCCAGGTAAGTGCAAAGACATCAAAGTAGGAACAAGATTAGTTTATTAGAGGAACACAGAGAAGGCCAGCAAGGCTAGAGTAGAGGGATCTGGGCAAGAGGATGGGGTGTTGATAATGTGGTACTTTGTAAATGCAGATTCCTACTTAGATGCAAAGCCATTTGTGTATTTTAAGGGGAAAACACTGTGTCAGTGGTGAACCAAGGATTAGAAGCAGGCAAGAGAAAGTAGGGTAGAGATTAAGGAACATTAAGCAAGCTGGGGCAGTTGACCAGGACCAGGGTGTAGAGATGGGGATGAAGAAGATTGGATGAGTTGGGGAGCAGCTGAGAGAGGGAAAGAGAATGTGATGAAAGTAGTCAGGTAAATAAGCAGGTGGGATAGCCTTTCAGTCTAAGTGGGAAAGCATCACTTCTACAGGAGCCTTCGTTTGCACTCAGGATGCAAGAACCTTAACTTAACCCCCCCCCCAATAAGTCCATGACTTCCTAAGTCACTAAAGACCTGGTACATCACTGGCTTCTGGTCTCCTGAGATATTTCTAGAATCAGGGAACTACATTTTTTTTCCCCACACAATTACTTTCTGGACTTCTTGTATACCAATGGTAGTGGGAAGGAGGAGTTCTGTGGATGGCTAAATTTACTTGAGTTAAAGCTGAGACAAGGTACACACAGTCTTGGACAGCTTCACAGTTAAAAGGGAAGGGATCGGGAGGCTCCATATTTATTGTGCTGAGGGCAAGGAGTTTTGCACAATGAGTCTATCACTCCATCTTTACAGTGATGATGAAGTATATTCTTTTAACTTCAGTTTCACAAAGGAAAAGGTAGAGGCTCAGAAAGGTTCTTTTTTTTTGGTCTTTTTGAGACAGGGTCTCCCTGTTGCCCCAGCTGGCCTGGAACTCACTGTGTAGACCAGGCAGGCCTTGAACTCTTTTAAAACAACAATTTAATTATTTTATTTTAAATTGTGTGTTTATGTGTATATATGTGGGTGTGAGTGCAAGTGTCAGTGTGGGGGCTGCTGAGCCATCTCTGCAGCCCCCTCAGAAAGGTTCTTAACTTTTTTTAAGGTACACAGCTTGGACACGGTGGGACCAGGATTGGAACCAGAGTCGGGATCTCTGACTCCCTCTCTACTGTAGAGCTGGATTGTTCTACTGTCTTCTTCAGATTATCATTACAGTGTCCACAGAACCCTTGATAAGGAAGACACACTCTCCTTTTGCGTAATGCACTGGTTATCTTTCTCACCTCATAACATGCCTAGGATGGTGCTCAGCAAGAAAGCCTGCTGGAGGCAACACCTTCTTGCTGCCACACGCGGGACTGGGGATGAGATGCAAGGCAGAGCCTGCGAGGAGGACTGCGACGCTTCCACTATGCTAGGCGAAGGGAAGCAACTCTTCCTCCTGTTCATTGCCCCGAAGGCATTTTCCATTTCCTGGGCCCTTCTGCTCCCCATCCCTTACCATTCGCCCCATCAACTTCAGCTCTGGCCCCTCAGGGAGCGTCCCTGGCCGTGGGGCTGACAGCATTTGGGAGCACGGGGTCTTGTTCTCTGCGCTCTCGCCCATCTGTGCTCAGAGCCTCGTTCCCGGGCTCCTGGAGCCCGGCGGGCATTGACGTCAAGCGGCGGCGGAGCGCTGCCTACAGACGGCTGACCCGGGCCCTCCTCCACATCCCCTTCCTTCCTCACCCCCTCCCTCTTCACCGCACCCGGCTGGAGCTGGCTATAAGAAGCAGGAGAGCAGAGTGCCCCGGCAGCTACGAGACTCAGCACCATGGAGAGCTCCCGCCTGCGGCTGCTGCCCCTCCTGGGCGCCGCCCTGTTGCTGCTGCTACCTCTGCTGGGTGCCCGTGCTCAGGAGGATGCCGAGCTGCAGCCCCGAGCCGTGGACATCTACTCCGCCGTGGAGGATGCTTCCCACGAGAAGGAGCTGGTCAGTATTCCCCTTGCCCTGGACCTCCCTGGGCTGCCACGGGACCCTTGCCTTGCACGAGGCGCCGCCTCCTCCACCTTGTCCCCATCCCCGGAGTCAGACCACCTGGAGTTGGGGGTTAAAAAAAAAAAAAAAAAAAAAACAAAACCCCGGGCAACCCTCGGCCAACCGAAGATCGTCTTAGTCCACCGGCTCCAGGTTGTCTGTCGAGAGAATCCCTGATCCGGGCCTCTCAGAGCCCCGCGTGCCTCCGCTGGGAGATGAGGTCAGGACCAGGGACTTGGCCCGCCAGGTTTCCCCCCTTCCAGCATCTATCCCCCTTGTCCTCGGAGTCCCGCCACCCAGCGTTTTGTGTGTCCCGGGCTCCTTATAACTGGGCTGAAAGTGAGCACCTGCACTGGGCTGGCAGCCAAGACTGCAACTTCGGGCTCCTGGCGGTGTGTTGCAGATTGAAGCGCTGCAGGAAGTCTTGAAGAAGCTCAAGAGTAAACGCATTCCGATCTACGAGAAAAAGTACGGCCAAGTTCCCATGGTAAGGCCCTGGGCTCACCCTTCCCTTACTTTGCCTTGAATTTTACACACGACCTTTACTCTAGCAGGTGGTCCAGCAACTCAGGTGCTGCACTCTTTTGAAAGGTCCTCTTTGCTTCAGCCCCACCATTTACTCGCTGTTCTCTGAGGGCAAGAAAAAAACCCGCTATTACTAGTGGGTTGAAGGGCGTGCCAGGGAACAGTTCTATGATCTGGGCGGGAGGGAGTGTTTCCTGAAGATGAATTTTTGCTTCACCTCAGGAAAAATCTCTGTGTTGGAAAAGCCCTTGAATCTACTCAGATCCCTAATTTCTCCTTGAATACAACGAGGCTTTTTCTTGTATTTTATTATTATTGTTATTAAATTATGTAAAATATTTTAGGACTGATCATCTTCGTTGGACAGCTCTGGGTAAAATTTCTAGCTCTCTCTCTTTCTCTCTCTCTCTCTCTGTCTCTCTTTCTCTGACACATGCTGAGAAAGTGAGAAAGTACAGTGCTACGGTTCTGGAAAAGTAGATTGTATATTTCTTAAATTAAAAGGTTTGGTTGATTTCTCACTTTTTGATAAACAGGAAAAGAAAGCTGAAACTGTGGTCCCTGCCAAAGGCAGAGGAACGTGGGAGGGACCAAGCATTTTAAATGTCTTCTTTGAACTGTCCTTTCACTGAAATTATAAGCATGCAGGTTCCTGGGTTTCAGGTCTGATTATGCTTAGACCTGAGGTGATGGTGGTGGTCCAGGAATTGCCTGGACAGCGAGACTTGCCTGTTGGGACCACAGTGACCACCCCTTGTGTTCTTGGCAGTGCGATGCCGGAGAGCAGTGCGCTGTGCGGAAAGGAGCCAGGATCGGGAAGCTGTGCGACTGTCCCCGAGGAACCTCCTGCAATTCCTTCCTCTTGAAGTGCTTATGAAGGATGATATCCTTTGCCACAAGTTCCCCTAACCCTTGTGTCCCCCAGAGGAGCACTCATTTATCCTCTGGAGTCTGGCTTTAACAACAATAAAGTTTGCATTTCCCTCCAAGGGTGAAGGGGCTCTTTTCCTGCTATTTCAAAATAAAAGAACACATTTGATGTTACTCGTGAAGGATAATGCCTCTTATGGTGTTGGTATGTGCACAAAGTATTCTTTTCTCATTTTTTTTTTCTGATAAATTCTTGTGAACCTTTGGGTAAAGAAAAGGAACTTTGCTTTCAAACTGTATTTTTGTACATGGCACAGCAGAATGAACATTAGACCTAGTTAATCTTGGTAGATGACATCACAACCTGGAAAATAAACCACCCTGAGCAACACAAATTGAAGCATGTACAAATTATACATAATAAAGTGTTTTTAATAATTGCTCACAGTTCATGGCTGTTTCTACATAAGTAATATAAGTAGTAATAATGGGATTAATCATGTTGTTGTTTTCAAAGAGAAATATTTTAAAAATAGCTGTCTATTGGGAGAACAGCACCTTAGCTCCAAGGAGTTTTGATCATTAATTAGGAGTATGCTACATCAACTTCAGCATATTCAGCATACTCTATTTTTCTTTTACTACAATGGTGTGTGTGCGTGGTGGTGGAGAGAGAGAGAGAAAGAGAGAAGGGGAAGGAGATGAACCTGGCTGGACTTGAAATGATAGACTTTTGTTTATTCAAACATTTATTTGGACTCCTTAGTTTTAACAGTAAGCCTTGTTAGAGAATGCATGCACAGCCATGGTTATTGCTACACTATTCTCAATAGCCAGGAAATGGAATCAGCCTAGATGTCCACTAAAAAAATGAATGGATAAAGAAAATGGACATACACACAGTGGAATTTTAAGCAGCACAGATATAAATGAAATCATGACATTTTCAGGAAAATGGATGGAACTGGAAATCATTGTTAAAGGGAAAAGTCATACTCAGAAAGACAGATTATATGCTTTCTCCTATATAGGGAACCTAGATTTAAAATTGTGTGTGTGTATGTGTGTGTGTGTGTGTGTGTGTGTGTGTGTGTGTGTGTAAACCAGTTAGTCTCATCAATATAAACAATAATTGTTTCAAAAAAAGTAAAAAATGGTTTATTCTGAGCCAAGTATGAGTGGCTACATTCTGGGAATCTGGATTAAAGTTACCTGGAATGATGTCCTCTAAAATGAAAGAGGTTATGTGAATTTTTATAGCCACAGAACAAAGAAGATCATAAATCAATTCAGCAGATACATTGGTAGGGACATTAGGTAAACAGGCTACAGTAAAGTGGGGAAATGTGTTCTACAGATTTTAGACACTGTCAACTAGCTTTAGCTTTAGGATTGGCCAAGGCTGGCATTCTACTAAACTTAATAATACATTCCAAGGGGTTACCTAACAGTCACTAGAATGCTAAGTCTGAGGCAAAGGTTAAACGTGTCTATACCAAGTGACACTGATGCTACTGGTTCATGGGCTACATACTGAGTAGGATGGTTCTATATAATGCAATAGGCATTTAAATTTTTTTTTAAATTTTTCGTCTTTTTGAGACAGGGTCTCTCTGTAGCCCTAGCTGTCCTGGAACTCACTATGTAGACCAGGCTGGCCTTGAACGCACAGAGATCCGCCTGCCTCTGGTTCTATACAATACAATAAGCATTAATAAAGAGTATTCATTCAGAAAAAGTAAATGGCTATTTTTCTTAAAGATAGCACAAGTTGACTTTGGCTGTGAACATTCAAGATTTCAGAACTCCATAATCATGATGCTCTCATCAGCAGAGGTCAGGCAGCCTGAAGAATTTTTGTTGTTGTTGTTATTTTTGAGACAGGGTCTCCCTGTAGCCCCAGCTGTCCTAGAACTCACTATGTAGACCAGGCTGGCCTTGAACTCACAGAGATCTGCCTGCCTCTGCCTCCCAAGTGCTGGGATTAAAGGCATGTGACACCACGCCCAGCCCCAGCCTGAAGAATTTTTATAGGTGTGGCTTCTTTGGAGAACTTCAGCATCATAGGCCAAAAAAATTCTTTCAGACCTTAGCCACATTAAAAACAAGTTGAAAAATTAGAAGTTTTGTTTTTGACAACTCTTGTCTTTTTTAGACAGGGTGCCATTTAACTCAATCTGGTTTCAAACTCGATGTGTATCTGAGGATGACCTTGATCTTCTGGTCCCCTCTCTCCACCTTTGCTGGTACTATAGGTGTGCACCATCACACTTGGTGTATGTGGTGGTGGTGGTGGTGGGGACCATGCTAGGAAATGCAAACACTCTACCAATTGAGGTATAGCCAACCCTGGCAACTCCTTTATTAGAAAAGATACCCTGATTTTTAAGAAATGAACTCTTTTAAGTTTGCTTATTCAGAGAGAAAAAGTCACTGTATCAGATACCTAACAATTATGAAATTCATTCATTTCCACAAGCAATATACCACCTTGAAAAACTCTGTTCAAGAAAAGAAACAGTCATTTTGGTAATAGGAACAAAGGAAAGTTGCTGAGGGCAAATTCAATTCAATAAATAAAAAGAAAGTTAAATTCTAATCTTTACAACTTTTAAACCTTTCTGTGTGCTCATCTGAGGACATGCCTCCAAAAGTCTAAAGAAGACTAACATTTATTTATTTATTTATTTATTTATTTATTTATTGTTTATTGAGATAGAACCTCATATAGCCCAGGCTGACCTTCAGCTCCCTAGGTAACTTGAAGATACTACTGAAGTTCTGATTCTCCTGCCTCCACATCCTAAATGATAGGATTACAGGCATGTACCATCACAGCCAGTATAGGTGACACTTAAGAAGCAGCATTATGAAGGAGCTGTTGCTAAGAGCTTCCTAATCCAAACTCAAGAGGCTCGTGCATAACAGTAGAATTAAAAACTAAAGCTCCTTCAAGGCTTTCTGGGGAGATGGAGTGTGCAGGTAGGAAACATTCTCATGTACAATGGTCATCTGTCATGTTCTTATCGTTACCGTTAGCATGCCTAATCTAGCTAATCTTGGGAAATATATACTTACCAGTTTTCAGAGTAGGAAATAAAAGCCAAGAGAGATTATAGAATTTGCTCAGATTAGTCAATCCTAAATTGTGACCTTTTATATGCTTTGATCTCTTTGATGATCCTGGTCTTCTCCCTTCTTGTTATTCTGGATAGTTATCAGGTTATTGATTTTCCAGAAAGAACTTTCTTTAATAGAAATTAGGTCGTCGTGGGGAGGGGAATGTGCATTTTGAGGATGATGTTTCCATTTGATTCCCCCTATAATATCCTTATTTGTGTTTTTAATCTGGTACATTTTAATCTTGAAAAACTGCGAAGAATTATTTAATAGCTTCACAGTCTACTACTTTTCCAGAAGTCCTTTTAGCTAAAATTATAACTTTCTCAAGCCCCTTAACTGTGCCCATGCAAGTCAATTCTAAATACATCTGATGAGGACTTTAGTCACTGTGAATGCACAGGCTGAACCCTCATGGACAACACTTAGAACTGCCTGAACACTTTCCCCAAAGCAAGAGAACCTGGAGGAATTTCAGATTCAAAGAAAGGAATACAAACCGCTTTAAACACTTAAACTCATTCCCTTCACATCTACCCCTCTCATATCACCTTTGTTCTTATGTAATAAGAGTAAAAAGTACTGAAAAGTGTTGTGAGGAGTTGGCGATGAGAAATTTGGGGGCTAGATATGGAAAACCTTTTTCCAAAAATTCTACCTTGGGGCCTGGATTCCGAGTTAATGATGTGAATGACATTCTTGGGTGATGATAGAAACATAGAATCTTAAATTACTTATTAGAAGTAACTTTGCCTTTCTAGTTCATTCATTTTAGAGCTCCTTTTCAAATAGGATACTTCGGTATGCTTTAATGTTTGAAGGGCTCTGTGATACAGGAAAAGAACATTGAGGAGTAAGGAAGTTTTAATGAGAAAAGGAATCACCTGTATGTGAGGCCTAGAGCTTGTCAGAGACTGGCTGAAAGATCTGGACTCTGAGAACTGATAAGAAGGTACAGCTGAAGATCTGTTGCAAGACAGAGTGATGTGTCTGGAGCACTGGGCCTCATAGCAGCCTGGGGATGATGTATGGAAGTTACTGGAGAACATTTCAATTCTTTTTTATCTCTCTACTTCCCACAGTAATCATAATTACAGACCTTTTCATGCTATGCCCGGATTTGGAGGGCTGTGGAGGGCATACAGTGAACTCATGGACCACTACCCCTTTCCTAGCTTGATATGACACATCTGAATCTGAGTATGGAAAGCATAGTTAGGAAAGGAGGTGTTGGATTCTGTAGTTTATTTATTTAGAGACAGTCTTGTTATATAGCCCAGGCTGGCCTTGAACTCAAGATCCTTCTGCATCAGTTTCCTGAATGCCGAGATTACAGATGTGTGCCACAATGCCTAGTTACAATTGTGTAGTTTAAATAAGCCCTCTGGGTAGTTCTCTATGCTTCTTCCCTTAGAGTCTCTGAAACTCTGAGATTGTTTTAAAGAAAGATTTATTTATTTTTATTTTATGTGCATGACTTTTTAAAAAATATTTTTTTATTATCTTATGTGTATACATGTGTGTGCCTGAGTGTATGTATGTATGCTGCATGTGTGCAGTGTCCAGTTAGGTCTGGAAGAGGGCATTGGAGCCCCTGGAACTGGAGTTAGAGGCAGTTGTGAGCTGCCTAGTGTGGGTACTAGGAATCCTCTGTAAGAGCAGCCAGCACTCTTAACTGCTGAGCCATCTCTCCAGCCCCTAAGTAGGTTTTTAATGTAGCTCATTCCTTCATTAGTTTCATACTTTCCTTGGTGCTTCTCTCCATGTACTAGGTATTGAAAACATAATGGAGAATAAAACAAAAAATATCCCCTGCTCTCACAGAGTTTGTAACCCAGTAGTGAGAAGGGACAGCAAAACAATTACATGAAATGCCCTGGGTAATTTTATAAAGGACATTGTGGGAGCATATGGCACTGTCTACACTGAAAGTGGAAAGAGAAGGAGCTGGGTGTGCTAAAGACATGATGGAGGGCAAGAAGAAAGGGGGAATGCTTTAGCCAGAGGGAATGGGATACTCAGACGTTCAAAGGCAAAAGAGATGTTGACATGCTTAAGGAACTGAATGATGATGGTGAACTCAAGAGAGTGATGCTACACAGGGAGAGGTCTCAGTGATTACCCTTGGGTCGTGTTCTTCCCCTTCAAGTGTTTGATGTGGTCTTGATATTGTCAGATGGAATGACATATTCATAGATCTGAAACCTCTCAAAGGAAAGCAGGGCTTACAGTGAGGTGGGGCTGACTGTCTTAGGGTCAACTTTCAGTCTTCTTTGGGAAAATTGATGGTTGAGTAGGATTCTCTCTTGTCTGATATGATG